TAAAAGCATTTTGCAAACCCTCCACCAGAAAAGCCCTTTAATATTGAAAAAAACATTTTATTATTTTATTTTAGTATCATGGCCACTCTAACGTCATCTGCGCTTTAGATATGGATACAAGAATATAGCGTGTATAATCCAAGAACATTTAGTTTAGAAAAATATAGACTCTTTAAACCTCTGCCTTTTATTCCTCGGCAGCCTTCGTCTCCATCCATACTGCTTTCACTTTCATTGACCGGACTTGGGGGTAGAAAGGATAAGAGCTAATCCACTTTTCAAAGGAGCTCTTTTGTCCGGGAGTGGTTGGATCTCTATAGGACAAACCAGCCCACCTGAATGTGTTTGTGGGGGAAAAGAAAAAGGATTCCAGAAGCTTTATGTGTGTGGTGCTTAGCCTATATACCACCATGCATTAGGCGCCTCATTGAACGGAAAAACCCGGTGTCTCAAAATAGATTCATACACGGCCGTCATGATAAAATACATAAAATACAGGTGATGAAAATGAAGTGAAATTACTGTTTGAATCTGATTTAGCGCACAACAAAATAGTAAAGTCTACTAATGGCAAAATTGTTGATTGCATGATGTGGTTATACTTTAAAATAATGAATAATAATAATAATAATAATATAATTCTGTTTCATTTGATAGATGTTTCCTCGCACCATTTATTCACCTGAAGTTGTATTTGGGGTGATTTGTGCAGTAGTGTAGTTGGTTTGAGCTGAGGCTACGTTTATATGATGACGGTCTGAAAAGAAGAAGCAAAAGTGGCGCTGTGTCTTCACTTTTTATTCTGCGTTTAGACAAGCATTTTCGGGAGGAAACCTGCGTGCATACGGTGACGCAAATGTGTGTGGAATTCGATTGGGTATGCATGCCAGGCGGCTCGGTGGTGATGTATTTGACGTAAACGCGTACGCGACGTGAGCAGATCTGACCAGAGTTTTGCGTCTTGGGCAGTGTAGATGGAAACACTACGGTGGAGCGTTAACAACTTTTCCACTCAGGAGGGTGGTTTCAGATTTTTGCGCTTTTAAGCCCCAAAATCGACCTCACCGTCTAAACGAAGGGCACATCTGATAACAATATTTTGTCGTTTTTACCCACAAGCATTCTTGTGTAAACAGGCCATTACTTTCAAAACGCCACATTGCCAATCAGCTCATTTTCACCATTCCCTGGTACACACCCATTTCTCTGTACCAGCTTACTGTAACTGGTGATGCATTTAGGATTCGGCTAGCCAGGCTGACGCCACCTAGTGCCTCCGCTCAATTTCATTTCTCTCTAGCGACTAGGTCAGGAATCAAAATACACTAGACGGTTCGCAAAAACCCCGGAAGTGCGAGTCCGGGCACCAGCCAGTCAACGAAGAGCCATATATTCAGTGTTGTCAACGATTCCCGAGATCGAGGATTTAAAGCCAGAATAAAGAGAATGTTTGTTGAATTTTTTCAAGGGGAAAGACATTATTGCTCTTCTTCCTACGGGATTTGGGAAAAACTTAATATACCAGTTAACTCCATTAGCGGCGCATTACATACATCATGACCAAATAGCAGCGATTGGTTAAATGATAAAAAGTACCCGCCTACGGTCGAACGAAGAAATTCTAACACTGCGAGGTCAGACAGAAGTCAAACTGGCTGATGAATCAAGATAGGATTCGGCAGCACTGTGTAGTCATTTGGTATGAATAAAAAAAAAAAAAAAGATAATAATAATCTGTTACTTGCTAGTGTGATCTGCAGCTATTTATTTATGTTCCATATTAATCCCATAGTTGTCCAGGTAGCAAAAAAAACAAATGAAATTCTGTGAAGTGGACAAGTTTTGTGAGTGAAGACGTTAATATTTTTTCTTTTGCTATGGGTCCTAGATTACACAAAATTGACTCTTCTGATTTTACCTCATCAAAAACATACCTGAAGTTGTGTTTTGTTTGACTTACACATGTTTGAGTAATTTATTATCAGTCTGTCCAAGATCAAAATGCTCTGTTCCACCTCGTGATGTCCAATGTTGGGAAGGTGACTTTTAAAATGTATTCCCCAACAGATTACAGATTACATACCCCAAAATGTAGTTTGTAACATAATCCATTAAATTACTTAAAGTGAGTAACGTAATCTGAATACTTTGGATTACTTGATTTGCTGTAGAGAAGCAAAGACTAGGATATCGTAACATAAGATGTTTTGTCTGATAAAAGAAAATGAAAAAGCCCAAACTTTACTTAACCAGATAAAAAATATTATTGATAGAGGAGGAGGAGACATGGTCCACGCAGCATGGTTTAGTCCTGTTAAGTCCTGTTTTAGTCCTGGTTAAGTCCTGGTTTAGTCCCATTTTAGTCCTGGTTTAGTCCCGTTTTAGTCCTGTTTTAGTCCTGGATTAGACCTGGTTTAGATCTAGTTTAGGACTGGTGTTAGTCCTGGTTTAGACCTGGTTTAGACCTGGTTTTAGACCTGGTTTAGACCTGGTTTAGATCTAGTTTAGCTCTAGTTTGGACCTGGTTTTGATCTGGTTTTAGACCTGGTTTAGACCTGGTTTAGATCTAGTTTAGCTCTAGTTTGGACCTGGTTTTGACCTGGTTTTAGACCTGGTTTAGACCTGGTTTAGATCTAGTTTAGCTCTAGTTTAGACCTGGTTTTAGTCCTGTTTTAGTCCTGTTTTAGTCCTGGTTTAGACCTGGTTTAGATCTAGTTTAGATCTAGTTTAGGCCTGGTTTTAGTCCTGGTTTAGTCCTGGTTTAGTTCTGGTTTAGACCTGGTTTTAGACCTGGTTTAGACCTGGTTAAGATAGTTTAGACCTGGTTTAGTTTCCAGCAATGAGTGGAATTAAGAAAAGAAAAGAAAAAAAAGGGGGATATAGCCCAAAATGTGAAAACAGGAAAATACCTCTGTGTAATCCATTTATTTTAAAGTAACTGTAATCCAATTACCACTCACTGAAACAGTAACTGTAACTGAATACAGTTACTCATAATTTGTACTCTGATTACTTAACTCTGGGACATGTAATCTGTTACTCCCCAACACTGGTGATGTCCTGAAGCGGCCGTTTTAAAGTTAACAGCTCCTTTTACCTTGTTTTTGAGTATCAACAGTCAATTCCAGGGCTAAAAGTCTCCAAATGACTCTAGTGAAGGTGTATGATGCACTTTCTCTCTTACCACAAGGTAGAACAAAGTGTTTTCAGGTTGAACTCGGCCTAAATCTGCAACGTTTGTGTGTTAAACATGTGAAAAAAAACAAAACACAGCTCTAGATATAGTGTGATGAGGAAACAAGAGCATAAAAGAGATCACAATATGGCATAAAACGGACTCTTTAACACAGTTGTAGAGGTCTGAACTTGCAGACTATCAGGATTCATATAAAAATCGAAATTGCGATGTCAATTAGAGGACAATATAACGTTCTGTGCTGAAATCTGCAGCCTGAGGGAAGACAATCCACAAGAGGTGACATTAGCTTTGATGGCCCATTACATGTGCATCTGTGCTGCTGCGTGGAGAGGATGCAGGCAGTGCTGACTTCATACATACGGTGAGAGCAGGAGGGAGGGGGGGAGAAGAGGCGGAGGACGGGGTCTGAAATCCAATATGTCTGCTGGTGAGGCGCGCGGAGGTGAAGGCTTTGAGTGGGGCCTGAGCCAAGCATAAAATGACAGGAGAGAGAAACCCTACACACATGCTCTAGTGCTGATGAGGGGAGATCTCTGCACAAGACACTGGAATAAACACGGGCGCGCTGCTAACTCATCACTGCGCAGGCTGGTACCGAAGATAATTAAGCATGTAAAAGGAGCTGAAGACACGGTTTCTACATTTTTCTAAGCAAATATTTTCATCGGCTTAACGTAATCGTAATTCTGTTAAATAATAAAGGATAAAAAAGAACCAGTGGAGATGAGATTCAGCTACTTTTTCAGTCCCAGAGCCTCAAACTAGACAATAAACAAAGTCAAAATGAAAATATTTGGCTAAATCTTATAAAAAAATGAAACATATTAATAAAGTACTGGGCAATTCTGACAGTGTTGGGAGTAACGTGTTATAAAAGTATAAAAGAATTATTGTAATGCATTGCTTTTTGCTGTAACGCAGTAATGTAAGGCATTACAGGTAAAAAAAAAAATGTAATATTTTACTCGGTACAAAGAATATACAGTTTAAATTCAATTTAAATACAAAATAATTCTTAACTGAACTCCTAATTTAGGCTATGTTCAGACTGTAGGCTGAAGTGAATCTGTTTTTTTCACCCCATGCGACCTGTATCTGATCTTTTCATGTCTGAACGACACAGATCAGATTTTTTTTTCAAATGTGACCCAGGCCACTTGGATATGTGCTCCTAAAACCAATACATATCTGATCTTTTGACATGCGACTTCAGTCTGAACGGCCAGGTCGCAGGTTCATCCGACCTGGCTGGATATTGTGCGGTAACAAGCACCTGTTGCGAGCCAATACAGCCCAATGCAGCCAATGAAATAGGCCGCCAAAGACGTGTTTCTTCGTGAGAGTGGTACAAGTAAGTGGCCACAAATGTACACAAATGTTCTTCTCGTCATATGAAAATTGCGTCTGAACTTCCTGTCAGTGAAGCAGTGAAGCACAAAACAATCCCACCACTCTTTGCTCTGCACTCGCAACGTTCCTTTCTACGGACGTTGCTGCCACTGCCCCACAAAACGCCATGACCAAAAACCTCGTCCTTCTCCTTCTCAATCTCCTCCTTTAAACAAATAAGCTGATGTTCTGGCTCCGTTACGACAGCAACTTTAAAACCTCCAGGTGCTCAATGCTAGTGTCCATGTTTAGGCGACTTCCGACACTTTTGGGGCATTTAAAGTTCACGCTGGAGATCACATACGGGTCGCATTTAGTTGGAAATGTGAACGACCTCGCAAAAAATCTGAACTGAGCATTAAGCCCTGCAGTCTGAACGTAGCCTTAATGTGTGCGTCCTTGTATTTTGCAGGTTACCCCAGATATAACATCGTAGGAGACCACGGTAAAGGAGAGTTCCACCTGCTGATCCAGAGGACAGACATTCAGGACGATGCCTTCTTCGAGTGCCAGGCCATCCAGGCGGCCATCAGGTCCCGCCCAGCCCGCCTCACCGTACTGGGTAAGAGAGCTCCACGGTGTTTTATTTTCAACAGAAGCAGCAGCTGATATACTGTGCTACGGTACATGAGCTTCTTCTAATCGTACTCTGTAAATAATGAAAAGACTTTACCCCTCGTAAAGCTGAACATTTAAACTGCAGCGTCTCATCCATATTAACCATAGAATTTGTCCTCCGCAAATAATCACACCCAGTCCACAAAACACACTGTTAATCCAGTTTGACTCATTCTTAAAAGTAAAAAGCCGAGAATAGATCCTCGTGCGTGTCTGTTTAGCGCACGGATCGAGGTGAAGCTGCAGATTAGCAATCGAGACTCTACTTCCTGTGGACTCTATCGCCAACCTTCTGTGCACTGAAAATCATGTATTTGAAGTATCGCACCACATTTCACAAATAATATTACCGTATATTTTCGGACTATAAAACACATTTAAAATCCCTTTTTCTCAAAAATTGACAGTGGGCCTTATAATCCGGTGTGCCTTAGTTTATTTATTAATTCTGGTTGTGCTTATTGACCTCCACTGAGTCGTGTCCTTTAGTCCGACAGACATCAGCGCACAAGGAGTGAGCTGGTTTTTTCAGCACTTATAATTTATGCAAATTAGCCATGTGGTTTCAGGTTTTGTTTCTGTAAAATGTAAACAAATGTGCGCAGAGCTTCATTAACCACATTATTACTGAATGTATAATTGAGTCCTCCTTGTACGAAATAAAAAAAAAACTTCAATGATCCACCCACATTCACATTCATAATACACATTCACCAAGACAGGGAGGAAACGCAGGCAGAATTACGCCATGATCTGCTAAGGGATCAGTCTCAAGTGTCGTCCGTTTGTTTTGCTTATAATCCGGTGCACTTTATGTATGAAAATAGACGAGAGAATTCAACATTATTGATATTGCGCCTTATAATCCGGTGTACCTTATAGTCCGAAAAATACGGTAATAATAATCAAACAGTTTTGACTTGTATCTAAACTAGAAGTGCAGTGCTCTGATCTTTTGAACGCTTAAGAGTCTCAAAGTGAGTAGCTATACTCCCGACAGGAAACAGCTGATGCGAGGTGTCTTCATAGGCGAGTTTCATTGTTGACAAAAGCACGCGTTGCATGTTGGGAATTATTTTAATGACATGACAGACGGAGCGAGAAAGCAATTAAAGGGATCCTGGTTATTTATCCACTCTTAACGGCAGAGGACCGAAGACGATTTGACCAGAAATTGGTCATAAGCATTGATGGACGCCAATTCACCCTTTTCAACCCCTACAAAAGGTGGACCAAACCAAATTTCTGGTCAGAATCGCCAACTACCTGGACAAATATTCACTTGGGCGATATCCACAATGACTTGGTGGAAACTCCTGGGCCATTCACAACAGAAAAGATGAAAACCTCCAAGAGTCTCGATGCGTTGTTGAACTTGTTGAAGTCCACGGTTTGTTAGGATCTTCTACGTTTCTACGAAAGCCATTTAATTCTTTGTTAGCGGTTCTTTTCACTCGGAATACGAAAAAGACATTTTCCTTCTTCCGTGCTTCTATTTGTGCATCCCATAATGCAGCAGGAATTTACCATTATTAAATACGAGAGGTTACACACTGTGTTTGATCGCTATCGTGTTTCTTGCCTCCGACCAAAATATTTCCCAGCATGCAACGCGCGCTTTTAATAACAATGACGTCAGCTGAAACTCGCCTTTCGCAGCGATACAGTCCACAGCCATATACCGCTGCAGTCTTTGTGATCAGAAATTTCAAATCTCATAAAATCCTGTAGTGTTGTTACTCTCAAACAAAGTAAAATTCTATACATTTTAACTCAGCATTATGGCATTCTGTTGATTTTGTTGCCATATCGATTATTGCATCAAGCCACTGTTACAATAACTATATTTTTGTGATACATTGTGAAGCTCTATTGTAAATGCAGCTCTTATGGTAAAAATGAGGCAGCTGTGTGTTGTTTTTATAAAGCATGTATTGTCCATGAACCAAGTAGTAGGCAGTTGACAAGATTTTGGTGTGAATTATTTCCGTCATAATCCCAAGAATTCAAGTAAAAGCCATATTTCTTCATGTTGTCTGCACTGAAATGAATCATGGGATGTGTAGTTCCCGATGTGCATAAGCTGCTGCTACTATAAAACCACGCATTTAAGCAAAGGAACATGTAATTTGATATTTTTGTGAGACTTTTGACGATATGCGCGTCACGATATTTCGTTTATTGTTACATCCCTAGTTGTAGTCGCTGTTAAACTCCGCTCTGGCCTCTCAAAGTTGTGAAAAGCACTTATAAACTCACCTTGAATAAGTATTGAGACGCTAACCTATAAATATATTAAGAAAAAGAGGAATAATTTTGTACAATTTAGTAGTTTAAGTTTAACTAATTCTGTTTTCATGGTTTAAAACAGTAAGACCTGGTTGGAATGTGCTACTTTGAAATCCGAGTATTGACTTATGTGGTACCTTTTCAGTGGAATAGTCTTTTATAATTGTGTTTTTGATGAATTTTAAAACTGTAGCGCTACTTTACATCCATCAAAAGTCTTCCTTCACCTGGGACCTCGGGGAACATGAATGACAGCCAAAATGGAAAAACCTTTATTTTTATTTTTTCCGTCTGTTTTTTTGTAATCGTGCGTTCACTTTCACTAATGAGCTTTGATAATTAAAAATATGTTTCATGTCAAGCAGCCCTCGCATGTACGAAGTGTGAGAGAGTGTGCCCCCTGTGGTGTCATTTTGTTCTCCCCCACAAATTAGCACCGAGCTGAAACTGCAGCCATGTTTTTCTCTCTCCCCGTGGCATCACTATCTGTCTGTCAATATTTGGGGGTGAAAATAACACTGGATTATTGTTCTCATATTTTATCCTTAAGTGAAATTTTATGAATATTTTGATTTGAATTTGGATTTGGCGTGTAACCAGACGTACTGTAGCTTCACCGATGTGTAATTCTCTATATTTTCTTGTTACTAATGGCGAAGTCCCAATCCATTTTTGAATTTATTTTTGTTTGTTTTTTTGGCTCTTTTTTGGCTCTCGATACAGATTTAAAGGTGCATTGTGTCCGTCAGATGCTTATCTCCGTAGACATGTGATTGCTTTGTCTGGAATGTTTCACCAGACCAAGTTACAGGTCAGATCTGTGGAGAGGTGACCCCGCTCACAGTAGGAATGCCGTTTTTTTCTATTTATTTTCAGCTATAAAATCACCTGTAATTGAATAAATGTAAGGTAGAGCTGTTTGTTGCAGAGCAAAGACATATTCATAGAAACAAACCCGCAAAAAGTTACACAGTGCACCTTTAAGTGAAATTTTGGGGGTATTTGGATTGAATATGGAGTATAACGAGACGTAGCCTCATTGATGTGTAATTCTATACTTGCCTATTTGCCTGTTGCTAATGGCGATGTCCCAATCCATCTATGCTTTTTTTTTTCTTTTTTTGTCTCTCTACACAGATTTAAAGGTGCATTGTGTCACTTTTCCACTGGAGAGTCCGTCAAATCCTTTTCTCAGTAGACATGTGATTGCATTGTCTGGAATGTTTCATCTTTCTACCTTCACAGAGACCAAACCGGGCCAAGTTACAGGTCAGATCTGTGGAGAGGCGACCCACTCAGTCAGAATGCCAGTTTTTCTAGTTATTTTGAGCTAGAAAACCACTTGCAATTGAATAAATGTAAGGTAGAGCTGTTTGTTGTCATACTGTGGAACGTTCCAGGCAGAGTAATGACATATTCATAGAAACAAACCCGCAAAAAGTTACACAATGCACCTTTAAGTGAAATTTTGGGGGTATTTGGATTGAATTTGGAGTATAATAGCTTCATAGATGTGTAATTTTTTTTTTTAACCTGTTGCTTCTGGTAATTCCTGATTCGATACTGATCTCATCCCAGTACTGACCTTCTCTTTTTAAAATTATTTCATTTACACAGTTTAGGGTGTGCCTTTATAATTAATTAAGTAGCTTATGGTGAAATTTGCCCCAGTTCTATTATTGCTATATAAAAAGGCCTACTTAAAAGCAGCCTAAAAATTTGTGATATTGTTGTAAAATAATGTTGTAGATTCAACAAACATCAACAATCTGAACTTTAAATGCTTTTAGTCAGTGTTACATGAAAATTTGTAACAAAAATAAATCAATTTACAAGCTCAACAATGACTTTTAGGCTTTGACAGCATGTGGTCGGTAAAGTGGTGTAAGTATTTTTTGTGGGATAAGCAAAAAATAAATAAATAAATAAATAAAAATAAACAAAACGGGGGACTAGCTCAAGAATTCAAACATTCAATTAAGCAGCCAATCAGCAGTGTTAGTATCAAATGCCACATCTCCTCTTAGACAAGTGTATCCGTGTATCATTCGTTCATTCATATTTCAAAATAAAACCAAAAATAAGAAAAAAAAAAAATTTTCTTCAATATTTGTCTCCAGACCAGGACCAGACCAGGACTGAGACCAGGACCAGACCGGGCCTCAGACCAGGAGTGAGACCAGGACTGAGACCAGGACCAGACCGGGCCTCAGACCAGGAGTGAGACCAGGACTGAGACCAGGACCAGATCAGGACTTAGACCAGGACTAAGACCAGGACCAGACCAGGACCAAACTGGGACTGAGAGCGGGACCAGACCAGAACCAGCCCAGGGCCAGACCGGGACTGAGACAAGGACTGGGACTGAGACCAAGACTGAGACCAAGACTGAGACCAAGACTGAGACCGGTACCAGAACAGCGCTGAGACCAGGACCAGACCAGGAATGAGACCGTTTTACTAGTGGTTTAGACCTGGTTTAGTCCTGGTTCAGTCCGTATGCGGCGCAAGAGTAATGAACAGAATAGCTGCTTTTTTCATTTTCTTATTTTTGGTTTTATTTTGAAAAACGAATGAACAAATATTCGTACACGGATTCAAACATTACCTGATTTATCTTGTCGTGACATCTTCAGCTGCTGTGTTTCAGAGGAC